CCCCCCCCCCCCCCCCAACCCCCCCCCCACCAACACCACAACAACCCCCCCAATATCCCACCCCCCCCCCTTACCCTATCCACCCCACAAACCCCCCCCATCCCCCACAACCTCCCCCTCCTCCCCCTAAACACCCCCAAAACATCCATCACCCTATAAAACACACCCCCCCAAACAAACCAACCCCCCAACAAACACCAAACCCCCCCCACCCAACATCCCAACCCCCCACCACCCCCCCCAAACCCCCAAACAAACACCACACACCCAATCACCACAACAACTACTTTACCATCACCAACACCTACACCCCCAACATAACCAAAACCCAACAACAACACCACCCAAAAAAACCCCTAATACACCCCCACCACCACCAACATCCCCAAAACTAAACCCCCACAATAATCCAACAACTCACACCATACACCCCCCATACTCCCCCCCCCATAACTCCCACCAACAATCCTACCTAACCCCAAAACTCAATTCCCCTACACCAATAAAATCAACAACCAAAAATAAACCCACCCAAAAATAAACAAAATATCCCCAACTACCCACCATCAAACACAACCAAAACAATACCCCTTTCCCATAAACCCCAATTAAATTAATATAACCCCTCCTTCCATATCCATACACATATAATCCAAATCCATCCAAAACCCTACCTCTCCACCCCTTCCCCCCAAACCCCAAAATACACCATACAACCAACACCAACCCAAACCCCAACCTAAACACCAATCAAACAAATTCCCCCAACTACCTAAATTCAAACCCTCTCCCCCCCTACCACATTCCTCAATAAAAAAAATCCCCCCAATAAAAAAAACCCCCAACAACACACCCACCCAAAAAAAAAACCCACCCCCAAAACACCCAACCCCACAATAACCTACCCCCAAAATCACAAAAAACCCCCCTCAACTACAAACCCCCCCCCATAAAACCCCAAACAACCAACTACCCCCTACATCCCTCACCTATCCCTCCCATCCTACATTTCACTCTCTATTCCCCCCACTCCCCTTCCCCTCTCCCCCCCCACCATCACTCCCCCCCCTCCCTCCCCCCCCCTCTTCCAAACCAAACCAAAACCACACTACCCTCCCTCCCCCACCCTCCCCTTATCTCCCCTCTTACCACTCCCCAATTCCTCCCCCCTCTCCCCCCCCCCCTCCTCCCACTCCCATCTACTTCCCTTACCCCCAAATAAAACAATATAAAACCTAACACTAAAACATCCAACCCCCATCAATTATTAATATAAATTCACAAAACTACATCCTATCAAATCACTCCACCACATTCCCCATACATCCACCACACACCAAAACCTACCCAACACCCCCTCCCTCCCCCTCTCTTCTTACCCCCCCCAACCCCCACCCCCAATCCACAATCCCTTCCACCCACCCCAACCATAAAAAATCACCAACCTCTATAATATATAAACCAATTATCCCCTACCCCACAAAAACCACAAACCCCCCCCACTATCCCACCCCCCCTTATCCCACCCCTCTACCAACCCAAACCCATAACACATCCCATATCATCCACATAATTCCATTCACCAAACCCCCATAAAAAACTCCCATAACCACCCCCCATACACCATACACCACCACCCCATAAATTCAAAAAACCCCCAACTAACCCCCAACCCACAAAACACAAACCCCCCCCCAAATACCACCCCCCCCCAACCACCCCATCCCAAACACCACCCCCCTCCAACCCCACCAAACCCAACCCAAAAAAAAACCTACCCCCCACACCAACCAACCCCCAAAAACACCCCCAACCCCCCACAACAACCCCCAAAACCCCCCCACAAAACCCCCAACCCCAACCCAACAACCCCCACCCCCCCCCACAAAAACACAACCCCAACACCCAAACCACCACCAAACCCTCCCCACAAACCCAAAACAACCCCCCCCCCAAACACATACCCCATAAAAAATAATCCAAACCAACACCACAACCAAAAAACCCCACCACCCCCCACCCAACACCACCACACCCCCAACCAAAACAAACAACCACCCACCACCACCCAACCAAACAAACCCACAAACCTTCACCCCCACACCCCCACCCCCACACCACACCCACCCACCAAAACCCCCACAAACAACAACACCCCACCCCACAAATAAAACACCACACAAACCACCACCCCCCCCAAACCCAACATACAACATCCAAACACACCAACATCAAAACACCAAACCCCCCCCAAAAAACCCCCTCAACCACCCAACCCACCCAAAAACCACCAACAAAAATCCCCTTACATCCCCCCCCCCCACCCCCCACCCCACCACCCCCCCCCCCCCCACCCCCAAAACACCCCCCCCCCCCACCCCCCCCCAAACACAACACCACCCCCCAAAACCCCAAACCCAACCCCACCCCCCAACCACCTACCCCCCTCATACAAACCTCACAACCCAAAACCCCCACACCACCAAAAAAACAACCACCAATCCACACCTAACACACCCCCCCACCCCCACACCCCCCCACACAAACCCCCACCCCCAAAACAAACTCAACCCCCCCCACCACCAACCACCCCCCACCCACCAAACCCACCCAACCAAACCCCCCAACCCCACAAACCCACCCACAACCCCCAAAAAAACCAACCCCCCCCCCCAAACACAAAAAAACCAACCCACAACCCACACAAACCACAATAAACAACACAAACCCCCAAAAAAATCACCACCTCCCCAACACACTCAAAAAACATAAAAAAAAAAAAAACCAACCCCCCCCCCCAAAAAACACACCCCCCCCCCCTAAAAAACCCCACCACACCAAACCAACCCAAAACCCCCCCACCCCACCACAACAACACCCCCCTAATAACAAAAAAAACACACCCCATCCCAAAACACACAAACCAAACACACACCACCCACCCCACCCCCCCACCCACCAAACCCAACACCCCCACACCAAACCACAAACACCCCCCACCACCACCCAAAACCAACACCAACCTCCACCCCCCCACCCCCCAAACCCACCCAACACCCATCCCAAACCCACCAACCACACAACCCCCCACACCCCCCCCCCCCCTAAACCACCCCCTAAACAACCCAACCCCCCAACACAACCCAAACCCACAAACACCACCCCCACCAACCACCAACAAACCACTCCCCCCCCACCACCCCCACCAAACCACCCCAAACCCCCAACCCCCACCCCCCCAAAATAAACCAACCCCAAAACAACAACACCCCCTCAAACCCCTACAAAACAACCCCCCACAAACCACAAAAAAACAACCACAACCCCCAAACAAACAATCCACCCCCCACCAATCAAACAAAACAAAACACCCAAACACCCCCCCAACAAAAACACAAAAACAAAATCCACCCTTCCCACTACCCCCCCATCACATAACACCCCCACACCCAAACAATACCAACCCAATCACATCCCCCCACCCCCCCCATTACCAAAAACCCACACCCAAACATATCAACCACCTATCCACCCCCCTATAAAATACAAAATAAACTACCACATACATATATCACAAAAATAATCCCCCCAAACACTCCAATCCCCCTTCCACATCCCCCTACCCAATATCCTCCACACTCACCACAATAACTCTCCAATTAACCTCCCCTCCTTCTAAATTAACCCAACCCCCCCCACATCCCCCAAAACCCTTCACCCAAAATCAAATATAATATACCAATTACCTCCCCCAACCCCCCCCAAATCCCCCTCCCCATCCCTCACCCCAACCCACAAAACCCCCCCACCCCCATCACACAAACAATAAAACCCCAACACAAAACCCCCAAACAAAAAAAACAACACCCCTCCCATACACCCCACCAAAAACCCACCACCCACAACCCCACCCAAACAACCCCAATCACTCCCAATCCTCCATATTCACCCCTCCACCACACACAACCCACCCACCCCCCTACCCCACCCCCCCCACACCCCAAAACAAAAAAACCCCACCCCCAAAAACATCCAACAACACCTCCCCCTCCCACAAAAAACAACCCCCCAACCCAAACCACACAAAAAACCAAACACAACATCACAAATACAAACACCCAAAAAACACCCCTCCCCAACAACCCCCACACAAACCCAAATACAAACAAATACCCCCACCCCCACCCCAAACCAAAAACACAACAACCAAAAATCACAACAATACCAACAAACCCCTAACCCCCCACCATCCACCCCCCACCAAATAAACACCTACAACACCCAAATCCCCACCCACCCCCATCCCATAAACTCCCTCCCCCCCCAACACAAAAAACCCCCCATTTCCCCCAAATAATTAACAACAAAAACCCCACCACACCCCAAATATCTCAAACACCCCCCAAATCCTCCAAACAAACCTACCCACCACCAAACACCCCAAATCCTCCTTCCTCCCCCTACAAACAAAAATATACACACATCCTTCCCTACCCCCTCCATATCCTCAATATCAATTTTAAATACAACCCATCCCACCTAATACACCAACCCAATCCAACAAATACACATCTCAACATATAATATCAATCATATACACCCCACCCCCCCCAACCCCCCAAAACCCCAACAACACACCACAACCACCCAACCACAACATAAAAAACCACCAAAAACCCACAAAAACCCCCCCAACACACCCACCACCCCAAACAAAAAAAACCCCCCCCCCCCAACAAAACAAACCTCCCCCCCCCCCCCCAACCACCCCCCACCTACTCCAAACAAACCACCCAAAACCCCAACCCCCCACCCACACCACAAACAAACAAACACATCCCAACCCCCCAAACAAAATCCATATCCCCCCACCCCAACCCCCTTCCCCCAAATCAACCCCCCAAAATCCAACCAAATTCCCCCCCATACAAACACCACCAATACCCACCAAAAACAATCCAATTCACTCCCAACCACATTCCCAACCACATCCCCCTAACTCACCCCCACCCCCCACCAACCCCCATCCAACACCCAACCAACCCCCAACACAATAAAACCCCAACAACAAACCAAACCACCCCAAAACAAACCACACACCAACCCAACCCCAAAACACACCCACCCCCAAACTCCAAACAACAACCCCCAACACAACAAAAACAACCAACCAAACACAACCACCAACACCACAACCCACCCACCCCCAAAAACCCACCCCACCCATCAACCACCCACCCCCCCCCCACCACCACACAATACAAAAACCCCCCAAAAAACAACCCCATCACAATCTACCAAACAAACACACATACCAAAACCCTCCAAAAAATCAACTAAACAAAAATCCCCAAATCCTCCCACCCCCAAAACCAAAACCCCAAAACCCCCAAACCCACACCCACACAACTAAACCCCACCAAACCCCACAAACCACCACACACACAACCACACACCACAACAAATCCAACACACCCACACCACCCACAACCACAAACAACAACCCCTACCAACCCCAACCCCAACACACCACCCAACCAACAAACCAAACCCCCCATACATAAAACCCACACAAACCAAACCCCAACCCCCACCCAACAACAAACAAACAATACACAACAACCCCACCCCACATCCCCCCAAATACCACACACATCCCAACCCACCCCAACCACAAAACAACCCCCCCCACATCAACACAAAAAAACCAACCCCACCCAAAAACACCATCAAACACACAACCCACAAACCAAAAAAACAACACAAACCCAAAAACACCAAACACCAAAAACACTAAAACAAAAAACAAACAAAAACCCCAACAACCAACCACACAACCAACAACAACCAAACAACAAACCCCCAAAAACCAAACCCCACACCACAACACAACCCACAAATCACAAAAACAAACCAACAACACACCCATCACAAACACACCCCAAAAAACCACCAACCCAACAACACCCAAACACAACACCACCCAAAAAAACAACAAAAAAAATACCCCCCCCCCACAACCCAATACAACAAACCACCAAAAAAAACCCACCCCAAACAACCAAAACACCCAACAAACACCCAAAAAAAACCCAACCAAAAACAAAACACCCCCACAAACACCAACAAAAAAAACCCTACAACACTCCTTTAAACCCTACCCCAAATCACCCACCCCCCACACAAAAAACCCAAACACACCCCACAAAAACACCCAAAAATCACCACCTACAAACACCCGCCCCCACAACAACCCCAAAAAACCCCCCACCCCTCCACACCCCCCTTTACCCCCAATACCAACTTTCCCAAATACCCACCCCTAAATCCCAAACTCCCACCCTATCACCATCCCCCCCCTACCACCTCCCCAAACCAAAACAAAAACCTACCCACCACCTCCCCTATCTAAAAATAAAAATTTATCCCCCCCCTCTAACCCCTATTCTCCATCTCAAAAACACACCCTAATCTCACATCTCTCAAACTATCTAACAAACCCCACAACCAACTCTTAAACAACCCAAATCTCACAACCTATCAAACACCCCAAAAAAAAATAAAAAACTACCTCTACAAACACAAAACCCAACAAAAAACACCCCACCCCCCACACCAACCACCCCCACCCACAAACCACAAAAACCACAAAAACCTAACACCCAAACACAAAAATCAACCCCAACACCACCCCCCCCAAAACAAAAAACCCCCCCAAAACCAAACAAACCACCAACCAAAAAACAAACAAACCCCCCCACAAACAAAAACATACCCAACCCCAACACAAACAAACCCACCACCCAACCACCCCCCACAACCCAAAAAACCCACCAACCCACCACCCCCCAACCCCCAACACACCCCACAAAACCCAAACCCACACCACCCCCCCCAACAAACCCCACCAAAAACCCAACCAACACACCCCCCCACACCACACCCCCACACAACAACCCCCACCCAACACCCCCAAACAACACAACCCCACCTAACCCCACACCACCCACAACCAAACACCCCACCCCCACAAAACAACCACACCCCCCCTCCAAAACAACCCCAAACCCAACACCAAAACCCCAAACAACCACAATACTACAATAACCCCAACCACACTCCAAAAATACCCCAACAACACCAAACCAACACCCCCCCCCCACCAACCAAAAACCAACCACAAACACCACAAACACACCACAAACCAAAACACACCCACAACAACCACCACACCCCACAACAACAAACCCCCACAAAACAAAACACCCCAAAACAAAATACAAACAAACATAACAAACAAAAAAACCCCCCAACCATAACAAAAACACACTACCAACAACACCACCAAACATACAAAAACCCCACCCCCTATCTCACTCACCACACCCACCCCCCCCAACCCCCCACCACACCACCATAAACCCTAAAACCCAAAAAAAAACACAACTACACAAAATAAAAATCACCCCAACCAAACTAAAAAACAAACCCAAACACAACCAACCACACCACCAACCAAACCCAAACCACTAAAAACCCCCCATCTCCAACCCAATACAAATCCCCAACACACACCCCCCCACCACACCACCCCCCCCAACCAAAAACAACCAAAAAAACACAAAACCCAAAATTAAAACATAAACCAATCCATTCCCCCCCCACCCCCTACCCCATACCCTCACCCTCTATCCCCCCTTCCCCATCCCCCCCACAATATACCCACCCCCCATCATCCCATTATTAATATCTCTCTCTTTCTCATCCTCTCTAACAATTCTTCATCATTATAAATATAACTTACTCTACACACTTTCTAATCTCTATATAACTAAATAATCCACCCCCCCCCTATAAACCCAAATCTCCCCCCACCCTTTTAACTATTACACCCAACACACCCCCCCCCACCACCCCCCCCCCCCCCCCACCCCCCACACCCCACCCCCAACCCCCCAAACCACATCACCATCCCCCTCCATACCCAACTCCCCCCTCCCAAAACCCCAAAACACCCAAACCCCAACAAACCATAACACCCCAATCACATTACAAAAAATCACCCCCTCCCATAAACCAATCCCAACCAATACTCTTCCAACCAATCACCTAATCCAAAATCATAAAATCAAAATACATATATCCTACCAACCCAATCATCCTCCAACTCACATCACCCCCCCCCCCCAAACTCTCCTACCCATCCTCAATCAAAAAATACATCTTCCCAACTCCCCTCATCCACTCCCAATATAACCCTACTCCACCCCTATCCAACCCACTCTCTACCACCATCAACCTATATACCTTCCCATCTATCCCCATCCCCCCCCCCCCCCCCCCCCCCCAAATCCCTCCTATCCCATCCCATCATCATATCAACCCATCCCCTCATACACATTCTCACTCATATCAATTCTCCCCCCCCCCCATTCAATTTCCCCCACATCATAACCCTCATCCCATCCATCATCCTCCCATCTCCCACCCACCCCCACCCTTTCCCATCTTTCATTTCACCATAATCCATCTCATATTCTCCCCATTTTCTATATAAACACAAAATCCCACCCCCCACCCCCAATCATCTATCCACCCATCTCCCTCACCACATCAACAAACAAACTAAAAATAAATAACATAAATTCCAAATCAATAACAATTCCCCCTCCAAATCCCTCCCCCCTCCCCCTCCCCTCCTAACAATATCATACAATACCCCCCCTCCCCCTATCCCCCCCCCCAACCCCATTCCCTACAACTCCAATCCCCTCCCCCCCCCAAATCCCCACACCTACACCTACAATACTCCCAAAAAATACTCATAACCCCCACAACCCCCTACTCCAAAACCCATAAATAATAAACCCCACCCCCCCCCCAAACCCCACCTCTAAACCCCACTACCACACCCCATAACACCAATAATCACTCACCTTAACACCACAACTCCACCCTCTAAAAAACTCTCACAACCCCTATCCCTCCAACCCCCCACTTCCCAACAAATACCCTATCTCCTCTCAAATTCTAACCCCCCCACTCTTCCCACACTCCAACTCCACCCATCCACCCCACTAATCCAAACCCACTCTCAACAAATACTCCCCCTATCACAACACCCCATAACCCTTCCCCCAAACCCCTCAAACAAACCCCTACTCACCCCTAACCAACTAAACATAACCTTAAACAACTCACCAATCCCCCCAACCAAATATAACCCCCATCTTATCCATAATCCACATCCCCCATACCCACATCTATACTCCCCACTCACCTTCCACTCACCCCATCTCACTCAACTCCCCTCTCTCAACCCCCCCTCAAAATCATACAAATATCACTCCCCCCCCCCCCCCCCCCATACTCACAAATTCACACAAATTCCTAAACCCCCTATCTCACCCCCCTCCCCTCAACTCCAACCCCCCCCCCCAATAACTCCACCACCACCATCCCCCCCCCCCCCCCCCCCCCCCCCCCCCCCCCCCCCCCCCCCCCCCCATACCCACATCAATCCCAACTACCATCACCACCACCAAATCAACCCAATCATTAAAAAAAAACAACACCCCCCCATCCATCCCCAACCACAAAACTCACCACCCCTACCACCCACCCCCCAACCCCCAACTACCAAAACCAAAATCCAAAAAAAACCATAACACCCCCTAAAACACAAATCCAACTACACACCAAACACCCCCCCCCCACCACATACCCCCTCCACACCCATCCCAACCCACCCACTCACACCAACACCACCCCATACATAACCTCAACATTCACCCACTCCTCCCCACACCCCACACAAATACCCACTCAACTCCCCCCCCCCCCCCCCCCCCTACAACCCCACCTCTCCACCACCCTACCCTACCCCCCTAACCTCAACCCCTATCCCCACCACCCAAACCCCCCTATCACAATACCCAAACTAACTCCACCCTAACACACTTACCACCCCAATCCAACACCAAACAAATACTCACTTAAAAAAAAAATAAAAAAACATAACATCATACTAAACTATATACCCCCCCATATAAATAAATAAAAAACAAAAATAAATACAAACAAAAATCAAATAAAAAAAATACAAAAAAAACACAACTCTTCACCCCACCCAAACACAAACAATATCAAACAAACATAACCCAAAAACATAAAAACCACTAAAAAAACCAAAACAAACATACCAAAAAAACCCAAAAACACCACAACAAACACCAAAATCAAACACCAAAACACCCAAACCCCCCCCCCCCAAAACAAATACACAACCACACCACACCACCAACACAATCAACAAACCCCAACAAACCCTTCCCACAAACAACACAACCAACACCAACACAAACACCCAACCCAAATCAAAAAACAACCCCCCCAAACACACACCCATACACCAACCAACCACAAAAACACCCACCCCCCCAAACCCCCCCCAAAACCCAACACACCCCCCAACCCCCCCCAAACAAAAACCACCAAAAAAACCACCCCACCCACCCCCCCCCACAACCCCAACCCACCCACCCCCCCCCCACCACACACACCACCCCCACCCCCCCCACCCCCAACCACCACCACACACCCCCCACACCCCACCAAACCCCCCCCCCACCCCCCCCACCCCACAACCCCCCACACCCCAAAAACAAAACCCAACCCCCCACACCAAAACACCCCACACCCAAACCCCCACCAACACACACCCCCCCCACCCCCCTCCCCCCCCCCACCACCCACCCCACAAACCACCCCACCCAAAAACCCCCAAACCACCCCACCACAACCAACACCAAACCCCCCCCCCCCAAACCCACCACTAACCCCCCACACCACAAACCCACAACAACTACAAAAAAAAAAACAAAAAACCCACACACAAAACACCCCCCCCAACACCTCCCAAAACAACAATCCAACCCAAAACAACCCCCAACAAACCCCCACACCCCAAAACACAAAACATACCAATATACCCCCATCAAACCCACTCCCCTTATACAACAAACCACCCAACAAATAACCCACCAAAATACCCACCTTTACCCCAAATAACCTATCACACTCCACTCCTATACATATACCCCCAACCCCCCCCCCCCCCATCAACTATCCACATCCAAAAACAAACTATTAAATCTTACTTCTCTTCCTCTCACTTCTAAATACCCTTTTCTTCTATATTCTAACCCACCCATTCCAACCCATCAATACCAACAAATCCATCACCAACCCAACATCAATAACACAACATACAAACACCCCCAAAACTCTCATCCTCTCCCCATTAATAAAAAAAATCTATTTCTTCTCCCCCCCCTCTCTATAAAATCTACTCACCCTAACCTTAACACAACCCCAAAAACAAACCACCTCACACACAAAAAATTCCCCCCCCTCACCCCCCCTATCACCCCCTAAACAAACACATCTACTAAAACCATAATCTTTAACAACCTACTCATTCTCACCCTACTACTAAAAAACCTCAATAATCAAATCATTTTCCTCCCCACACTACCCATCTACAACCACCTACTCATACCCTACCTACTTAACCCTCCCTCAATATATTATCCTCTCTTCCTCCCTCTTCATCTCACCATACCCCCCATACCCCTATCCCCCCCTATTAATAAAAATTACAATCCCCCCCTTACCCATTTTTTCCTTCCCCACCCCTCTTTATCCACCCTACTAACCTATATCAAACCCTCAAATCCTTTCCCCCCCCCCTCCCATTTCCCACATACCTCCTATTATCCCCCCTTTCATCCTATCCCTTACCTTATCTTCCATCCCTCCCACCCCATACCCCCATCTTTAATTTCCCCTTTCCCCAATTCCTTATACTATTCTTCTTCCCCTTCACTCTCAACCCCTACCATACCCCCCCCCCAACCACCATCCCCCCCTCCCCCATTTCCCCCTTTATCAACTCCCCATCCCCCCCACCCCTAGACCCCCCCCACCACCACCATCACCCTTACCATACTTCCTATCTCTCTTCACTATCACCCCTACACCACAAACCCCTCCCCCATCCACCCCCACATCCCTCAATACATCCCTAATCTTCTAAACTCCCCAACCATTAAACCAACCACTCCCCAATCACCCCACCCTCTTCCATAAAACCTCACTCCAATCACCCTCTCTCTACAATCCTTCTTAACTCCACCCCCTCCCTACCCATACTTACTCCACTTAACCCACCCCCCCCTCAACTTTAACCTCCCCCCACCTCCCACCTCAAACATATCTCTCCTCATCCCCAATTAATCACATATCCCCCCACCTATACATTCTCACTTCCTTCTCCCCCCAACACATAACCTCTCCTTCAAACCCAAACAACCTACACCCTTTCTACCAATCAAAACCCATCAACAAATCCAAAACAACTAATATAAAATCCTCAAAATCAAAAACCTCTTCAAACTTTCCCATATCCCCACCCAAAACCAACACCCCTCAAACATTATCCCCCCCCTTTCCACCTAAAATAAAAAATTCCTCCCCAATCAAAACTTCATAAATACCAATTCTACTTAAAAACTACACATAACACACCTCACTCCTACACTACAAATACCCCCAAACCCCCCACAACACACCCCTATAACATTAACACCACAATCCAACCTCTCTATAACAAATACCCCTACCATAATAACCCACAAAAAAAACCCCACTACACCACCCACAAAAACATAAAACACCAACAACCAAACTCAACACAAAAAACTACCCCAACAATCCCTACCACCAAAAACACAAACCATACAACAAAAACAACACACCCAAAAAAACCCCACACACACCAACCAACCCAAAAAACCCCCACACCCCTCCACCCAATAAACCCCAACAACCAAAAAATCACCCCAACCCCTCACCAAAAAACACCCCCCCACCCCCCCCCCCCCCCACAAACACCACCAACAACACCCAATTAAAACACCCCCCACATCCACAAAAAAACCCTAACAACCCCAACCCAACCCCCCAACCCACACCCTTACCACCAATTAAACTTCACGAACCACCAGAGCCATGAGTCGAGGTGATTGTGAGGTTCCTGTGAGAAAAACTACTTTCGGACAAAATGTTCTGTCATACAAGGGCTGTGCACAATGGAACACTTTGCCGACTTCTGTAAGAGAGGTCCTTAGTTTTACTTCATTTAAAAAGTCTCCTAAAGGAGTGGTTAAGGTCGTCTCCAAACATGCAACCATAATGTTGGCATGCACTGTCCCATTCAAATAAATAAACAAAATAAAATAATAAAATAAATCCATGCTGGAATTTCTGGCTCAAACATGTAACTCTGCCTCTTCTGTCTAAAAGCTCTTGTCTCAGTCCTATAATAGTATGATGTCGTTGTACCTCTATGACATCACACTGAGAGCCGTTTTCTGCCTTCTCACACAAACATATAGCTTTAATTCTTTACTAAATGATTTTGGCCATTTATATAAATGAAAATAAATGCTCTTTACTATCACATGGCTGTGTCTTCAGTTGCTAATTTAGAAATTTGAAAAAATAAAATAGAAAAATAAAATTCAACTCCCTCTGGTGGTAATATAGGGAGTTACAGGAAAAAAGCATTTCTGACCCTTCATGCTTGTCTCAGCATATATTTTCTACTGAAGAACTTTTATTTTTTTCAGTATCATATTTTTTTAATAGACAACAAAAATTCTTAATAATTCTTCTTTAAAAACATTCTCAACAACATTGTAGCCCTTGTTACACTTCCTCTCTGGACATGATATGGCATTTCATTTCTGCATCTACTGTAATTTATGAAGTATATGAAGACGTACCTAAAAAACCACCGTAATTCAAACCGGCTCATGTATTTTATGAAGCCGTTTTTAGAGTTTTAAAATACAACCTGTAATAAAATGCATATTGTAAATGTCATAGCAACAAAGGGCCGACATTTCTTTCCTGCTCTACATTTCTCTTGCTCCACTCCTTTAAACACATTTTTATTCCACAAAACACGGATTACTCCTTTTATAACAAACTTCAACACAAGACTGGTGGAATTTACCTAACTTTACAGCAAAGTCGGGAGGACGGGAAAATAGAACAAAACTTTGCGACGGCTGTTTTCCACTCAAACAGGAGCTAAAACTTCTTCAAGACCGAATGTTTGTGCTTGAATCAGAATTGGGGCTGAACACAACAATACCAGTGAAAGGAAATGGACCAAATGGACAGAACGTAAGTTATGATGACGCTATTTCATTTCCCAAAATCAACAGAGACAATTGTTGGAACACATATGGTGCCAAGCCCAAACAAGGCAAAGCTAATGATAACAAGAGTGTCATGATGCCACAGCAAAAATCTTTAATTACAAGAAACCGCTTTTCACCACTTTTGGAAGATGAATCAGCAGTAGTCTCTCAGTCCCAGTCTCAGTCTCAGTCAAGGTCAAATGCAGCTGAGTCGCTCTTTATCGGGGATTCGGCGATAAGACATGTAAATATGCGTAATCTCAAGGTTCACTCAGTACACTCTGCCAAAGTGGATGAGATAAGGCGGTTGGCTCCAAGGCTTCTGTCTGAGACCGGCAGGGTAAAAAGATTGTTGACCCACGTGGGGGCAGTAGACGTCTATGACAACACAAGTGAAAAGTTGAAACGGGATTATTCTCTCTTATTGGACGACCTTGCTAAAATGGACGTAAAAATCGTTATCAGTGGCCCACTACCAAATGTGGACGGGAAGCAAATGAAATTCAGTCGTCTGTATCAGCTAAATACTTTCCTACTCAACGAATGTTCACGCAGAGGACTTGCCTTCATTGAGAATTTTAATCTGTTCTGGAATAGGCATGAGCTTTTTGAAGGGAAAGGGCCACATCTGAACACTTACGGAGTAAAAGTGTTGATGGATAACCTTTCTTTTGCCCTGAGACCTCAGCCTGCGCAGCGCGTGCAGCCATCGAAAGGGAGGAAGCCAACTCCAAAAGTCTCTGCACCTCCACCACCTCGAAGGATCTCAACACCACCACCGCCTCAAAGGATCTCAACACCTCCACCACCTCGAAGGATCTCAACACCACCACCACCTCGAAGGATCTCAACACCACCACCACCTCGAAGGATCTCAACACCTCCACCACCTCGAAGGATCAACACCATCACCGCCTCAAAGGATCTCAACACCTCCACTGTCATCAGAAGCAGCTGCATCATCACCAGCAGCAGCTGCATCATCACCAGCAGCAGCTGCATCATCACCAGCAGCAGCTGCATCATCACCAGCACCAGCAGCAGCTGCATCATCACCAGCAGCAGCTGCATCATCACCAGTAGCAGCACCAGCAGCACGACCACCACCACCATCCTCATCCCCAGCCTGCTCCAAAGCAGTCACGCCTTCTTCATCTACAGCGCCTCTGAAGCCCCCATCCTCACCCCAGCCTACAGCAGACAGGCCTGTGCTGGGGTTTCCTCAACCACCTGCCCCTCCATCAAAGACTCCCTCGCCACCTCCCATGGACCTGTCTTGGGTCCCCCCTGCCACGTCCACTCCATCAAGAGAGAATGGGGACACCTCCCTTTGTTTTTCATCCCCGCCTTCACTGTTAGACCTACCTGAACACTCTGCAGGGCTAATAAAATCGGCGATGACTATTCCTCTCACACCCATATTAGCTCGATCTGTCCAACATTCTAAACCACTCCCCATATGTACCTCCAAAACCACCCAGGGTTTCCAATTCACCTACAAAAACCACCTCAGCCAGTCCCTCCCCTAACCTCATGACCATTCCACCCCCACTTCCCCCTCGTTCAACATCCAAAACCTCTGCCTCAACCCACCCCGGCCCTAACCCATCACCTAAAACCCCTCCACCTCCCTGCCCCCCTCGTTCAACACCCAAAAGCCACCCACCTCTCCATCCTCCTCCCCCGCCTTCCCCTTCTCTTCTTTTCTCTAAAGCAGGGGTGCCCAAAGTGGGGCCCGCGGGCCAAAGTTGGCCCGCCAGACCATTTCAGTTGGCCCGCCAAACATTGCCCACCTCCGCTATAAGTTTCTATCTGCGTCCCTCAGCCTCGCTGAACAAACAGTGAAATGTCTGAGGTTGCGCGGGCGCATAGTCGCCCTCTGAATTACGACTGTCCAGTACTTAAGTGTTGTATCGAGATACACTCCTCAATCATGGTTCACATCAACTTGCACTAAAATGTTTTTTAAAATCAAACACATCTTTCAAAACAATTGGGTGCAAGGCCCATTTATGTTTTTTTTTCAGCCTACTATTATTATTTTTTGGAGCTATTTAATGTTTTATCAAATGGAGAGGATTGTGCTGGCGAACTGCCACTCCCCCTCCTCACCGGAGGGAAATGGCGAGTGGAACTATTCACCTGCGCAATCCGCACCCACCCGGTGTGTTAAAAAGACGGACACAAACACTTCAAAGTGAGTTCAAGCAGGACAAGCAGGGATCGCAGCGCACGATCCACGCAAGTAGAAGCAACAAATACTGTGCAAAACAAACTCTTCTACAACCCCATGAAAGAAGCCGGTAAGCGCCGTCCTCACTCGCGATCATTGAATGTCAGAACTTACGCGGAGTTTTATGATGCGTTCAAGAGCCCTTTGGAGGAGCGGAAACTCGGACTCTTTAACAGTTACGTTGTTTTGAATAAATGTTGTACTGTGTTTAGGCAAAACAAAACAAAACTCCAGGAAAAAATCATGGTTAACTAGTCTGATTTTGTTAGTTTAATATTCAGTTCACTACTAATTGAGAATACTTGCCCTATGTTAAAACAGAGTTAAAACCTGATCATGTTTAGAAAATGCAGTTAGCAATTATGTTCCCAAATTCATTACTTAATGTTAAAATGTATTGTTTAAAAGTGTGCTAAAACCAGATCTACTGATCAGTGATGTCTCCCCTTTTTGATAAAAGCTAAGATAAAGTAATATGATTCAAATGTAGTTAAAAACTTTTGTTCAAAATAAATATATGAAAATAGACTTGGAAATTGCTTTGGCTCAGTGCAACAGAGATAATAAAAAAAGAATAAAAAACACTTCTAAGGAATACATTTAAATTTAAAATAGAGTTACAGTTACTATTTACAATATACAAGTGCACATGGTGCACACAAAATGTATGTTTCTGTTCTCTTTTTGAGGTTTTATTATATGATTTTAACCTTTAAATAAGCCATGACAGATAATCTCCCTCCTCTGGACCCTGATTACCCGCCGGAATCTTTCCGTACTGTAGTCTCCTCAAACCTGCATATTTCCCTGGAGCCTCCACTTCACTAAGACTGTGTTGATTTCATTCATTCAGCTGTGATTTGCACTGATAGACAATAATAATGCATTTAAAAGAACTTGATCAAATCTACATTTATTTGTGTTTCATGCATAATATCGGTGTATTTGGCCCGCGGCCCACTGGCAAATTTTTACTTTGGCCCTTGGAAGCAAAAGGTTTGGGCACCCCTGCTCTAAACACTAGGATGCACAGGGTCTCTGCTTCGCAGCCACTGGCAGTCTAGTTAGAGGAGAGACCCGGCTGGGGCCCTGTCATGAAGCCACCTGTGCCATTCCCTTAGTGATAACACAAAGAATACATTACAGAAAGACATCTGGAGTTAATCAGTCTAATCTGGAAAATCTAATTCTTGTTCCGTGTAAGAATCAGCCGACCACAACCGCTGATACTGAAACTTTGAAACTTGCTACGCTTAATGTCAGATCTCTTTGTAACAAGTCTTTTTTAATCAATAATTTTATTTGTTCTCATAATCTTGATCTTATGTTCATGGCTGAAACTTGGCTTGACCAAAATTCAGGAAATGCAGTTTTAATAGAAGCATCACCACCAAATTTCAAGTTTGAATCTGAAATACGGGAAAACAAAAAAGGAGGAGGCGTAGCTGCCATTTTCAGAGACCACTTTGTCTCCCATAGAATGTCTCTTGGGAAGTGTCCGTCTTTTGAATATGTGTCTTTTAAAATACAACAAAAACAATCTCCTCCAATACTCTTCGTTGTCCTATACAAGCCACCGCAGTCCTGTCACAGTTTTATTGATAATTTTACCGAGTTGCTTGCAGTTGTATGCACAGATTTTGATAGTTTGGTTATTACAGGTGATTTTAATATTCATGTGGATAATGTTGATGACAGAAATGCAAAAGAGCTGAGTTCTGTACTTGAATCCTTTGATCTCACTCAGCACGTGAGTGGCCCCACCCACAGCAGAGGGCACACTCTAGATCTGTTAGTTACAAAGGGGGTGAATATTTCAAATGTAAACGTGGTCGATGTTGCTCTTTCGGATCATTTCTGTGTTTTTTTTGACATGTTTCACTAACAAACCACCAGTGGACTCTGCAACTGTACGAAGAAGACACATAAATGAAAATACGAGTGAACTATTTATGGGAATGATAAACTTTGAGAATGCATCGTATTCTACTGTAGATGAACTGTTTAACTCTGTCACCTCTAGTGTTTTGAATGTTCTGGATACCGTTGCCCCTGTGAAGGTTAAAATAGTGAAAAATAAGCAGAAGGCGCCGTGGGCTAAAGCAGACTCGGTCAGGGCACAAAAGAGAAAGTGCCGGAGGGCCGAGCGGAAGTGGCGCAAGTCCAACCTCCAGGTTGATTACGAGATCTTCAAAGATAAGTTGTGCGAGTTTAACCGGGTGCTACGTAGTACGAGAGAAAGGTATTTTTCTGAAATGATTGAAGGCTGCAGTAACAATCTGCGTGTTCTGTTTTCAACAGTTAATAGATTAACAAACCCCCCTGTTCAAATGCCATTAGAGCTAACTTCCAAACGTAAATGTAATGAGTTTGCTAATTTTTTCAATGACAAGGTTCAAGGCATCAAAAACGCCATTGTCTCCAATCCACAGATAACCATCCAACAACCAGAAAGGCTCTATGAGCTAACTCACTTTGCACCTGTAAATGATAAAACTGTCCAAGAGATAATCTCCAGTCTGAGCTCCTCCACATGCATCTTGGATGTACTACCCACTAGATTTCTGAAGTCTGTTCTGAGCAGTCTGTTACCTTCACTCACACAGAAAGTAAACATGTCCCTTCATTCTGGAATATTCCCAAAGGCCCTGAAAACTGCAGTCATCAGGCCCCTGCTAAAAAAGAGCAGTCTGGATGCTACGGTACTTAACAACTATCGTCCCATCTCAAATCTGCCATTTATGGGGAAAGTCCTTGAGAAAGTTGTCTACCAACAGCTAAATAGATTTCTTATAATCAACAACTCGTTTGATATGTTTCAGTCCGGCTTTAGACCCCACCACAGCACTGAGACTGCTCTCGTTAAGGTTACAAACGATATCCGGCTGAACACTGACGCAGGCAAAGTCTCAATCTTAATCTTGTTAGATCTAAGTGCTGCCTTTGACACTGTCGACCATGAGATCCTCTTACAGAGACTAGAGGACTGGGTTGGCGTCGCTGGCACCACCCTAAGTTGGTTTAGGTCTTACCTTGAAGACAGGAAGTACTTTGTGGAGATTGGAAACTGTGTCTCAGATCATATGGCCCTGACCTGTGGAGTACCACAGGGGTCGATCCTGGGACCTCTTCTGTTCAATCTCTACATGCTGCCGTTAGGTCAGTTAATACGCAGAAACAAAGTGTCCTATCATAACTATGCAGACGACACTCAGATCTATGTCTCACTGACTGCAGGAGAACATGGACCAGTGGACTCACTCCTTCACTGTATCCAACAGATCAGTGAGTGGATGCAAAACAACTTCCTTCAGCTAAACGCAGACAAAACTGCTATACTCTGCTTGTGTATAAGTCTCTCCATGGCCTCGCACCAAAATATATTAGTGACATGTTAGTCCCATATGAACCAGCCCGGACTCTGAGGAGCACAGGGACTGGACTCCTGCTGGGACTCTGAGGAGCACAGGGACTGGACTCCTGCTGGGACTCTGAGGAGTACAGGGACTGGACTCCTGCTGGGACTCTGAGGAGCACAGGGACTGGACTCCTGCTGGGACTCTGAGGCGCACAGGGACTGGACTCCTGCTGGGACTCTGAGGAGCACAAGGACTGGACTCCTGCTGGGACTCTGAGGAGCACAGGGACTGGACTCCTGCTGGGACTCTGAGGAGCACAGGGACTGGACTCCTGCTGGGACTCTGAGGAGCACAGGGCCTGTTCCCCTGCTGGGACTCTGAGGAGCACAGGGACTGGACTCCTGCTGGGACTCTGAGGAGCACAGGGACTGGACTCCTGCTGGGACTCTGAGGAGCACAGGGACTGGACTCCTGTTAGTGCCCAGAGTCAGAACTAAACATGGGGAGGCTGCTTTTCAGATTCATGCTGCTAAAATCTGGAACAATCTTCCTGAAGATGTGAGACAGGCCTCCTCTCTGACAATGTTTAAAACCAGGTTAAAGACAGTTCTGTTTAACTGTGCATACAACTGAGGGATTTTATATTTTTATCTTTCTTTTTAATGTTCTGTTATTATTTATGATTTTAATGCTTTCTTGTTTTGTTCAGCACTTTGAATTGCCTTGTGTATGAATTGTGCTATATAAATAAACTTGCCTTGCCTTGCCTTATATATAAAAGAAAGGAGTGTGATGTCATAGTGGTAACTGATATAAATGTAATGAATATGTAGATTTTAATGTTTAGGATTTGCTTGATGTGATGTGAGGCGCTTTGTGTTGCCTTGATTGATCACACTATTACAGGACTGAGACAGGAGCGGAGAAGTATCTAAGTAAGTAATGTTTATTTATATAGCACATGTTACAGACCAAGGTACAGACCCAAAGGTACAGACCCAGAGCACTTTCCAATGTTCAGAGTCAGATATTGTTCCAATCCTTCCACACACGGTGATGACAGAAGCGAGTCCAGAACACACTGGACCATCAGCTCCAACACCATCATTCACTCTCTCATTTACATTCAGACCTATTGTGCGTGTTTTTAGTGGCAAGAGCTCTGGTGTGTGTGGTGCACACCGGGGTAGTCTTGCACAGTTTTTCCAATGTGGTTTTACTGCAAATGGCAAATAAATGAATCTGAATCCGGAGCACCCGGAGGAAACCTACGCAGACACGGGGAGAACATGCAAACTCCACTCAGAAAGGCCCTGTTCCGACCGGGATTCAAACCCAGGACCTTCTTGCTGAGAAGCGAGAGTGCCAATCACTCAGCCACCGTGCCGCCCAGAAGGGGAGAGCTACATAAATGTGGAAAATTAATTCTGTCTTCTTATGTTTACGGCTTTTTAGGTTCTTCTAATAAGACAATTAAAGCAAAAAAAGCTAGTATTGCTTAAATACCTGACATGTTTGGGCGGTACACTTCCGCCTTCATCAGAGGTGACACGTGATGGTGTGACGCGTCTCTTATCAGCTGTTGTTGCCAAAAGCAGTCAGTCTGACAGACTGACCACGTCCCCCGCCGCCCTGTGGTCTCTGGAGAAGTGTGAGCCAAGGTGAAGGCCCCCTCATCTCTGTTGATGGTCCGTGTTCCCCGCTTCCTGATTTTGATCGCCTCTCGTATCCATCCATCCATCCATCCATTTTCTTCCCTTTAATCCATTTCTGGGTCAGGGGGGTGGCAGTCAGAGATGCCACCCAAGTCTCATAGCACCAGCCCCTCACTGACCCTCTGCAGGTGGTGAGTCCACAGGAGGACGGCTGCTCTCTGAGTGTGAGCATAGCCTTGATCTTTCAGTGGGGGCTTTGGGCAAAGTGGGGTTAAGTGTCTTGCCCAAGGACACAACGACAGCAGTCATCAGTGGGAGTCGGTGGAGAAGGTGCAGAGGTGGGAATTGAACCCACGACCTTCTGGCCTTAAGGCCAATGCTCTACCAACTGAGCTACTGTCGCCCTCGTATCCATCTTTTGTATTTATGTTCTTCTGTTCCTACTATTTTTGCATTGTCCCAGTCCATGATGTGATTCTCTCTTTTGCAGTGCTCTGATATTGCTGATTTGAGGTTTTCCTGTGTTGCCTTTTCCTTGGTTGCTCTTGTTAGTCGCGCTGCCGTTTCTTTTTCGCATTCCTTTTGATGTTCCTTTCTTCTGGTGCTGAAAGCTCTCCCCGTTTCCCCGATGTATGTTTTATTGCAGGTTCTACATGGTATTTCGTATATGACATGGCACTTTTTTCCGGTTGTATTTTGTCTTTTGGGTGAACGAGGATCTGTCTGAGCTTCTTGTGTGGTTTGATTATTGCATTGATGCTGTGTTTTCCGAGTGCTCTCTGTATCTGCTCCGTGACCCCTTGTATGTATGGTATGGTGACTATGTCTTTGTGTTCGTTGTGTTTTTGTGGTTGCTTTTTTCTCTGTTTTTGTGTGATCTGTTTGTTTAGTACCTGTTGTCTTCCTTTCTGTATTGCCCATCTGGGATATTGACAAACCTTGAGTGCTTGGATTATGTGTCCTTCTTTTATCCTGTCTTCTTCCTCTGTGATGTTGTTGAGGCGTTCAAATAGTGTTCTGACAACAGATAGTTTTTGTGCAATGGGGTGTTCTGAAGTCCAGAGTAAATATTGATCAGTGTGTGTTGGTTTCCTGTAGACTGTGGTCTTGATGCTGCCGTCCTGTTGGTGGTGAATGTTTAAGTCCAGAAAAGGACTCTCCTCCTCATGTGTGAATTGTATGTCAGTTCCTTTGAGTTTTTGCAGTGGTGGTTAGTGTTTCCAATGAGAGGTTTTATTATTTCAACTAGTGCTTTAGATAGATGTATGTGACTGATCCTGTTCTGTCTACTATGGGGCGGAGTGGTGTGTTTTCTTTGTGTATTTTTGGTGTGCCATACATACGTGGGGTGATATTGGCTGTGGGAATGAAATGGTTGTGTGGTTATTTTTCCTGCGTCTGCTAGAGGTTTGAGTAATGACTTCAGTTTCCGTTTCTTTTCCTCTGTGGGGTTATTTTTTAATATTTCGTATGTGTTTGTATCGCTTAGTAGTGAGTTCATTTTTTCCTCGTAGTCCTGTGTGTCCATAACCACCGTGGTTCTTCCCTTGTCCGCCGGTATTATTGTAATGTGTTTGTCCTTGGTGAGTGAAATGAGTGCCCTTCTTTCCTCTTTTGATATGTTGCTGGGTGGTAGTTTTGCTGCTTTGAGTATACCTGTGACTGTGTTCCTAAGATTTGTCAGGTATTTAAGCAGTACTAGCTTTTTTTGCTTTAATTGTCTTATTAGAAGAACCTAAAAAGCCGGGAGAGCTACATGTTTGTGCTGGACATTAACTTGGAAAGATCTAAAAGAACCTGAGACAGTCGCGCGTAAGGTCTCCCAGAGCGTGGACGTGGAGGCCGTGAGCTCCAGGCTGCAGTCCGTCGATGGAGCCGTCGATGAGGCAGCGATCTGGAGACACCTGCAGGAAGCGCACCACTCCCTGCACCGAGCCCGAGCCGGACAGCATGGCCACAGCTGCCCCCAGGTCTGACGGGAGGAGAGGAAAAGCTCAGGAAGGCTCCTCTGGTCTCCTTTGAGTTGCCTTGTTAAGCACCTTATTAGTATTGTGTACAAACTGCACTATACGAACAGACCCGTCTAGCCTTAGAGTGATAGTCTGGACTTTGTCAGAAACAAAGAGAGAGATCGGTTATTTTTCCGTGCCAACCAGTATCAACAATGGAGTTATTGGAGGTAGGGGGAACACATGAAATGGGTAACTTCTGCTCTTGAGCTGAGTGTTGATCCATGGCTGCGCTCAGGACTGATGGTGGAGGCTTGTTTCGGAGGCTATGTAAAAACAAATAGGCATGCGCGCAGTTACGAGCACGAGCGCTGTGATTGACAGCCCTTGGCCTCACTTGATTGGTTCAGGTGGACAGCACCGACGATTTTGAGCTAAGATAAAAGAAGGCGGGACTTACCCGTAATATTATAATTCATAAAATGACTAATTTTGTATCTAAGGCCATATTTAATTAAGGCTCAGGAGGTCAATTTAATACAATTCTTAAAATGTGCCTGCTAACTGAAGTACAGATGATGGGTGAGCAACCTTACTTTGTTTTTACAAGTGTTAGAATGTGAAATGATATGAAGCTGTACTGGAAGTTTACATCTATGTCTAATACATAGTCAGAATTAAAAGTTCAATGGAATCGTGGCACCTTGTTGTGATCCTCCGATGCCCTTCAGAACAGCTCTGCGGCCGGTGCTTTCAATCAGACCTTGGATTTCTGCACTGGTCAGAACGGTCTCCACCAGCACAGCCTCTGACGCCACATCCACATTCACAGACTGCACCCCTAACAAAAACACACACTTAGACTCTGGTTTTAGGCCAGTTTTTATTGTTTTTGTGAGGCTAAGCCCTATTACCATATGGATTTACTTATAATCTGGAAGATGATTTCAATTCAGGATGATCCTAGGGCTGAAGTCTACAAAAGACATTCTTGGTCGGCGAAACAAATGATCAAATCAAACACATAAATCCGAAAAAGGGAGGCATGGACATTTCTCTAATGATGATTACCTGACAAAACTGAGTGTGTTCACAGTAAAGTGACAATTGAAGTATCTGGACTTTAAAAGGTTATAACTTAATAAAATTACTTTCATAGATTGGAAAAAAGATTTCAAACACAGACAGATTGAAGAGATAGTGTGGAAAAAATCAAAAGGAAAGATTGACATAAAAATGTTTAGCAACATTTTAAACGACCAAATGACCTCTGATTGGACCATTCTACTGTGACGCCAGTTACATAGAAAATAAAATGTCCTCAGTCTGAAAAAGCAGAAGATGAAATCCCACAAGATTTACATGGTTAACACAACAGAAGGAAATCACTTGATATAAAAATAAAAATAAATTAATTAATTAAATGACCCCTGAAAAATGTATAACGGACGTGATGAGGACGGTCCTCTTTTCTCTAAAAATTAAACAAAAATAATCTGGTCTGTTTTCACATTTAATTGCTTGACAATATGAAAGTATCAGTTTGCATCTACTTTGTGTAAAAAAAATTGAATCTCTGAATCAAATGTGGACATCTGAAAATACCTTCCACAAAGCCCATTCCGTCAAATCATCACGTCCGTTACATAAAATAAACAGGGCCGCTATAGGAAACTTGTCTAATGTATAAAACAGTTATGTTCTAGCAACTTCTAATGGTCATCTATAACAATGACAAACCCTGGTTCACTGCTAAACTCCGGCAGCTCAGGAAAGCAAAGGAGTCTGCTTTCAGGGAGGGGGACCGCAGCGGCTACAAAGCAGCTAAATATCAGTTCAGGAAAGAACTGAAAGCAGCCAAGTCCCGGCACAGAGAACGACTACAGGAGCAGTTTGGTAACAACGATACTGCTTCTGTCTGGAGGGGCCTACGGGAGATCACCAACTACAAACCCAAAGCCCCCCCCTGTGCTGACGACCACAAGCTAGCTGACGAACTGAACTTATTTTTCAGTCGCTTTGATGCTGCCCCTGACACCTCTCCCTCCCCCACCCCCCACTACTCTAACGACCCACCCATCAGCCCTGCCCCCAGCCTAACAATAGCCTCTAAAGAGATTAAACAACTCTTCTTGAGGCTGCACCCCCGCAAAGCTCAAACGATGGCAATTTTATCGAACCGAAAGCGCGCTGGGGTCTGGGAGACACGTTTTTGTGATTGAAACCTTATAGAGAGGCCACCCGGTACACATAGCACCAGCCCCCTACGATTCCTCCTGCAGATTGTGAGTCCACAGGAGGATAGCCTATTGTGTACAACTGTTTACATATTTAACGTACACAATTTGGTCCGCTAGTGCAATTTTCAAGTATTGTAACTGTGAGATTTTTACTGGAATAAGGTGTGCGACTAATTTCACTTGATTCATGACCTTATTATTGCCCTCTACCACTGTACCAAAGACCAGAAACTTTTACTGTGGAAATTTGGAGAAATATTTAGGGATGCACCGATCCGATACTGGTATCGATATTGGCGCCGATACCAGAAAAAATACTGGATTAGATATCTGCGTAGATAGAGGCGCCGTGCTGCCGATCCATTTTCTTTTCTTTTTTTTTTCATTATATATATTTTTTAATCCATACCAGGTACCGCACAATGTGTTAAAATACATTGTGCATAATGTACATATACTTATAAAATGAATGAATTAAAAGTATCAGATGTGACACTTCCTCGTGGCGCTCTACAACAACACAGCGTGGAGCAGGAAAGAGCGTTGTTCTCGCGGCGGTAAACCAGAGAAATACAACACGACTAAGCAGCACGAGAAACAGCACGGGGAGTTTTTGCATCGAAAGGAGATTACGTGAAAACAACGAGACACAGATGACACTGACGCAGCGTCACAAAAAGCTTTTCAGCAACAACCCCAAAGTGTTGGAGTTCATCATGGGCTCGCAGCCCCATAGACCATTTGGAACCCAGGTCCATGCCGTCGCCAAATACATATCTGAAATCCACTTAAAGCTACGGTACTGTTATTTATTTACATTTTCATGCAGCGTGTTTTGTTCTAAGTGTTTTTTTTTATTCAAACACAGTTAATATAAGTACATTTATATTCAGTAAATGTAAAAGGTCTAATACAGAGTTGAATATTTAATGTGAACATTGAGCAGCTCTTTATAGTTCATTATTGCACATTAATGTTGAATCCATTTGTATCTGGAAAGTTTAGCTTTAGTTCATCCACTGCTTTTGCAGTTACTTGAACAAACAGTTCAATTATTAAATACATTTTAGCATGATCATTTCCGGTATCGGTCAATATTGGTATCGGCAGATACCCATAGCTCTGGTATCGGTATCGGTAGTAAAAAAGCTGGATCGGTGCATCTCTAGAAATATTGCACCAGTCCACCTGTCAATCTCACGCTACATCCTTCCGTCACTCGTGAACAAGACCCCGAGATACTTGAACTCTGGGTCATGAATCCATCAGGTCATGAATCCAGTGAAATTAGTCGCACACCTTTTTACAGTAACAAGTTACAGTAGATCAAATGTGACATGTTTAGACAATTTTTTGGCTATTTTGGACCAAAATGGCTACTTTTACTCAATATTTCTACAGTAAAAGTTTCTGGTCTTTGGTACAGTGGTAGAGGGCAATAATGAGATCATGAATCCAGTATGTCACGGGCGGCACGGTGGCTGAGTGGATAGCACTCTTGCCTGTCAGCAAGAAGGTCCTGGGTTCGAATCCCGGCCGGACCAGGGCCTTTCTGACTGGAGTTTGCATGTTCTCCCCATGTCTACGTAGGTTTCCTCCGGGTACTCCGGTTTCCCCTACCACTAAAAATATGCACAATAGTTCTGGCATGTGCCTCCTGTTCGGCGACCCCGCTCCCATCTCTGTGTGGAGTGAGAGACAAATGCCCAAAAATAATAACAATTATAAACCGCTTTGTGACTCTGGTCTGTGAAAGGCGCTATATAAATAAAGATTACTTACTTACTAGTTAAATTAGTCACACACCTTTTTACAGTAGATCAAAAGCGGGAAATTGTGTATTTTGCACTAATGTGTACTTTGTCTCAATTTGACCCAACATTTCCACAGTAAAGTGTGTGGTTGTAGGCACAGCGTTGAAGGCAGCTATATCGAGGTCATGAACCCAGTGGAATAAGCCACACAAGTCTTTACTGTAAAAAAAGTTGCTGAAAATTTCACTTTTTGACCAAATTAAATGCTTTCCAAATATTGGTTTATTCACAAAAACGAGTCTCCTCAGCGCGCTTTCTGTTCGAGGAGAAAAGCTGACTCCGAAAGGCTGTTCCGCTGTTACCGTAAAAGGCCGTTCCGCTGTTACCGTAAAAGGCTGTTCCGCTGTTACCGTAAAAGGCTGTTCCGCTGTTACCGTAAAAGGCTGTTCCGCTGTTACCGTAAAAGGCTGTTCCGCTGTTACCGTAAAAGGCTGTTCCGCTGTTACCGTAAAAGGCTGTTCCGCTATTACCGTAAAAGGCTGTTCCGCTATTACCGTAAGTAGTCAACAAAACACGCACTGTTTTTCTCTCGATGCGGGCCGCTTTACTTCAGAGGTGAAAGATGCGGCCCACTTTACCGCGGTCTGCCATCCGCAGTGTCAAAATACAGTGGAAAGCAAATTATTTCACGCAATCAGTCCTAAGCAGAATGTATACGGTGTATTTACAAGGAATATTTACCCACAAGTAAAGTGGACATTTATAGATTGACATGAGAGACCCAAAGCAAACGACTTGGGTAACACTAAAAGCAGAGTTCTCTACATAAATGAAATATACATGTGGAAATAGTCTCTGGTATTGAACGGTGACACAGGCGGCATAAACATCTGTCAAATACCTGCTTTCCCCTCCAGTACTCCTCTAATGTTGTTTGCACAGCTTTCGCACGTCATCTGCACAGTAAACTCCAACTGTGGACACACAACACAAACACACTGCAGTAAACTCCAACTGTGGACACACAACACAAACACACTGCAGTAAACTCCAACTGTGGACACACAACACAAACACACTGCAGTAAACTCCAACTGTGGACACACAACACAAACACACTGCAGTAAACTCCAACTGTGGACACACAACACAAACACACTGCAGTAAACTCCAACTGTGGACACACAACACAAACACACTGCAGTAAACTCCAACTGTGGACACACAACACAAACACACTGCAGTAAACTCCAGCTGTGGACACACAACACAAACACACTGCAGTAAACTCCAGCTGTGGACACACAACACAAACACACTGCAGTAAACTCCAACTGTGGACACACAACACAAACACACTGCAGTAAACTCCAACTGTGGACACACAACACAAACACACTGCAGTAAACTCCAACTGTGGACACACAACACAAACACACTGCAGTAAACTCCAACTGTGGACACACAACACAAACACACTGCAGTAAACTCCAACTGTGGACACACAACACAAACACACTGCAGTAAACTCCAGCTGTGGACACACAACACAAACACACTGCAGTAAACTCCAACTGTGGACACACAACACACACAACACACACACTGCAGTAAACTCCAACTGTGGACACACAACACAAACACACTGCAGTAAACTCCAACTGTGGACACACAACACAAACACACTGCAGTAAACTCCAACTGTGGACACACAACACAAACACACTGCAGTAAACTCCAACTGTGGACACACACACACAAACACACTGCAGTAAACTCCAACTGTGGACACACAACACAAACACACTGCAGTAAACTCCAGCTGTGGACACACAACACAAACACACTGCAGTAAACTCCAGCTGTGGACACACAACACAAACACACTGCAGTAAACTCCAGCTGTGGACACACAACACAAACACACTGCAGTAAACTCCAACTGTGGACACACAACACAAACACACTGCAGTAAACTCCAACTGTGGACACACAACACAAACACACTGCAGTAAACTCCAACTGTGGACACACAACACAAACACACTGCAGTAAACTCCAACTGTGGACACACAACACAAACACACTGCAGTAAACTCCAGCTGTGGACACACAACACAAACACACTGCAGTAAACTCCAACTGTGGACACACAACACAAACACACTGCAGTAAACTCCAGCTGTGGACACACAACACAAACACACTGCAGTAAACTCCAACTGTGGACACACAACACAAACACACTGCAGTAAACTCCAACTGTGGACACACAACACAACACACTGCAGTAAACTCCAACTGTGGACACACAACACAAACACACTGCAGTAAACTCCAACTGTGGACACACAACACAAACACACTGCAGTAAACTCCACTGTGGACACACAACACAAACACACTGCAGTAAACTCCACTGTGGACACACAACACAAACACACTGCAGTAAACTCCAGCTGTGGACACACAACACAAACACACTGCAGTAAACTCCAGCTGTGGACACACAACACAAACACACTGCAGTAAACTCCACTGTGGACACACACACACAAACACACTGCATAAACTCCAACTGTGGACACACACACAAACACACTGCAGTAAACTCCAACTGTGGACACACAACACAAACACACTGCAGTAAACTCCAACTGTGGACACACAACACAAACACACTGCAGTAAACTCCAACTGTGGACACACAACACAAACACACTGCAGTAAACTCCAACTGTGGACACACAACACAAACACACTGCAGTAAACTCCAACTGTGGACACACAACACAAACACACTGCAGTAAACTCCAACTGTGGACACACAACACAAACACACTGCAGTAAACTCCAACTGTGGACACACAACACAAACACACTGCAGTAAACTCCAACTGTGGACACACAACACAAACACACTGCAGTAAACTCCAACTGTGGACACACAACACAAACACACTGCAGTAAACTCCAACTGTGGACACACAACACAAACACACTGCAGTAAACTCCAACTGTGGACACACAACACAAACACACTGCAGTAAACTCCAACTGTGGACACACACACAACACAAACACACTGCAGTAAACTCCAACTGTGGACACACAACACAAACACACTGCAGTAAACTCCAACTGTGGACACACAACACAAACACACTGCAGTAAACTCCAACTGTGGACACACAACACAAACACACTGCAGTAAACTCCAACTGTGGACACACAACACAAACACACTGCAGTAAACTCCAACTGTGGACACACAACACAAACACACTGCAGTAAACTCCAACTGTGGACACACAACACAAACACACTGCAGTAAACTCCAACTGTGGACACACAACACAAACACACTGCAGTAAACTCCAACTGTGGACACACAACACAAACACACTGCAGTAAACTCCAACTGTGGACACACAACACAAACACACTGCAGTAAACTCCAACTGTGGACACACAACACAAACACACTGCAGTAAACTCCAACTGTGGACACACAACACAAACACACTGCAGTAAACTCCAACTGTGGACACACAACACAAACACACTGCAGTAAACTCCAACTGTGGACACACAACACAAACACACTGCAGTAAACTCCAACTGTGGACACACAACACAAACACACTGCAGTAAACTCCAACTGTGGACACACAACACAAACACACTGCAGTAAACTCCAACTGTGGACACACAACACAAACACACTGCAGTAAACTCCAACTGTGGACACACAACACAAACACACTGCAGTAAACTCCAACTGTGGACACACAACACAAACACACTGCAGTAAACTCCAACTGTGGACACACAACACAAACACACTGCAGTAAACTCCAACTGTGGACACACAACACAAACACACTGCAGTAAACTCCAACTGTGGACACACAACACAAACACACTGCAGTAAACTCCAACTGTGGACACACAACACAAACACACTGCAGTAAACTCCAACTGTGGACACACAACACAAACACACTGCAGTAAACTCCAACTGTGGACACACAACACAAACACACTGCAGTAAACTCCAACTGTGGACACACAACACAAACACACTGCAGTAAACTCCAACTGTGGACACACAACACAAACACACTGCAGTAAACTCCAACTGTGGACACACAACACAAACACACTGCAGTAAACTCCAACTGTGGACACACAACACAAACACACTGCAGTAAACTCCAGCTGTGGACACACAACACAAACACACTGCAGTAAACTCCAGCTGTGGACACACAACACAAACACACTGCAGTAAACTCCACTGTGGACACACAACACAAACACACTGCAGTAAACTCCAACTGTGGACACACAACACAAACACACTGCAGTAAACTCCAACTGTGGACACACAACACAAACACACTGCAGTAAACTCCAACTGTGGACACACAACACAAACACACTGCAGTAAACTCCAACTGTGGACACACAACACAAACACACTGCAGTAAACTCCAACTGTGGACACACAACACAAACACACTGCAGTAAACTCCAACTGTGGACACACAACACAAACACACTGCAGTAAACTCCAACTGTGGACACACAACACAAACACACTGCAGTAAACTCCAACTGTGGACACACAACACAAACACACTGCAGTAAACTCCAACTGTGGACACACAACACAAACACACTGCAGTAAACTCCAACTGTGGACACACAACACAAACACACTGCAGTAAACTCCAACTGTGGACACACAACACAAACACACTGCAGTAAACTCCAACTGTGGACACACAACACAAACACACTGCAGTAACCACTGTGGACACACAACAACTGCAGTAAACTCCAACTGTGGACACACAACACAAACACACTGCAGTAAACTCCAACTGTGGACACACAACACAAACACACTGCAGTAAACTCCAACTGTGGACACACAACACAAACACACTGCAGTAAACTCCAACTGTGGACACACAACACAAACACACTGCAGTAAACTCCAACTGTGGACACACAACACAAACACACTGCAGTAAACTCCAGCTGTGGACACACAACACAAACACACTGCAGTAAACTCCAACTGTGGACACACAACACAAACACACTGCAGTAAACTCCAACTGTGGACACACAACACAAACACACTGCAGTAAACTCCAACTGTGGACACACAACACAAACACACTGCAGTAAACTCCAACTGTGGACACACAACACAAACACACTGCAGTAAACTCCAACTGTGGACACACAACACAAACACACTGCAGTAAACTCCACTGTGGACACACAACACAAACACACTGCAGTAAACTCCAACTGTGGACACACAACACAAACACACTGCAGTAAACTCCAACTGTGGACACACAACACAAACACACTGCAGTAAACTCCAACTGTGGACACACAACACAAACACACTGCAGTAAACTCCAACTGTGGACACACAACACAAACACACTGCAGTAAACTCCAACTGTGGACACACAACACAAACACACTGCAAAACACACACAACACAAACACACTGCAGTAAACTCCAGCTGTGGACACACAACACAAACACACTGCAGTAAACTCCAACTGTGGACACACAACACAAACACACTGCAGTAAACTCCAACTGTGGACACACAACACAAACACACTGCAGTAAACTCCAACTGTGGACACACAACACAAAACACACTGCAGTAAACTCCAGCTGTGGACACACAACACAAACACACTGCAGTAAACTCCAGCTGTGGACACACAACACAAACACACTGCAGTAAACTCCAACTGTGGACACACAACACAAACACACTGCAGTAAACTCCAGCTGTGGACACACAACACAAACACACTGCAGTAAACTCCAGCTGTGGACACACAACACAAACACACTGCAGTAAACTCCAACTGTGGACACACAACACAAACACACTGCAGTAAACTCCAGCTGTGGACACACAACACA